GCAACTCACAAATCGTAACACCATCACTTGTACTGGTGTCCGCCATATTTAGCTTGTTTTCGTTACTGAACCGTCTCGGCCATCCGGCCGCATTGCGCGCGTTGTCATTGTACCGCCGCCGCCGTAACGAAGTCAGCCAATCGTGCCAATTACGATTGTTCATTACACGATACTTCCTAATCAATCGATAATCAACGCCGCGGCGTAGCGCTGATCACCGTATCCGATGTCTGCTTCAGCTGAGATACGAACGATGAACAGCGTCCGACGTCGACGGCATGACGTGAGCCACGGACCTATACGCTCGGCACATTGACGGGTGGTCGCCGACGAACGTCTAAGCTATCGGGTACCTACCGCCGATTCCGGGTGAGTACGCGTTATGGACATTCGCTGATTACGTTTTTCCCGGTGTCCGTTCATTTCACTCATAGCCGTCCACGTCGTCGTTCCCGATCCTTAGTCGTTATCRCCCACGTTTGAAACTGGGCAGGTATTCTACGATAGATGCGCTCCAAATCCAGATCGTCTGTAGATAATGTCTAGATCAGATTTGGAATATTTGGGTGTTAGACACTCTCGTCGATYGGTGTATAGTTAGGTGTGTAACATCTGATTTTAGTTTACGATTATAATATTCAATACTCGTTCTGAGAACTTGGCTGTGTATAGACACCGGCTGCTTCTATGAGTGAGCGGTGCCCGCCCAAAACCACAGACTTTTATAATAAATATAAAAATCTATGCTAAAAATACCATAATATCAGTCAACACAACATATTGAGAAAACGCATATGATGAAAATGTCCATTCATGTATTGTTCTTATATATCGTTATTAATTTTTAATTGAAGTAATAATTGTTATCGATTATTTATATATATTATATGGTACCTGGAATCTACTCTAATGAATTGTGCATTACATTCTTTAAAATGACTACCTAGATACTAGGCAATAATAGTAAGTGCATAARATTAGCATCAATTACAGTACAATTTATTAATTTAAATGTCACAATATACCTATTCATATTCAGTTACCTGTATTGTGCAGTTACTTGAGTATTTATTAAACAAATATAAAGGTTTAAATGTTTTATCACGCTTATAGGATACAAGCTACAGCTAGATGGTTGACATTTAATATTCACATTATAACTTTGAATATATTTTCCCCATTTTAAATTAGGTACCATTGATATTTTTCCCTCAGATATTTATTTTTAGATGTCTATTTCTAGAATATTCAATTAGGATTCCAATTTATTACATTTCTACTGAGATGGCTAAATTAAATTCGAATAGCAACTATTCAATTTTTAAGAGGATGTTACATATTGTCTCTGTCTTACTAATGCTTAATATAATATATACTCAGCCCTCAAAAGAAGTAAATTTATTCACGCATATAGACTGATGGTAGCGACTGTCCCGTGGTACTATTTCACACACTATGAGACGGTCTGTAACTTGCTATACACACTAATTGCTTCTAACAGTTTACAACTGAAGGTTACTGATAATATGTCAAATGGGTGGGTGGGAATGTATGAAATAGAAAGAGGTTTACTTGTTTCTTRAGCCAGAATGTAAATAATTATAAATTTACAAGAATCCATTTTACTGTGTTAATTATAATTTTAGAATGAATTTACCTATAGGTAATCAAATTAAAAAATATTATTCATTACCTAGCGCCCTACATAGTCTTTTTTAATAATTTAGTTTAAAGCAAGTTAAGATCATTTTTAAAATTTATATAACATGTTAATGTAAGCCATAAATTTGTTCAAAACTTTATTATCTAGGTGGGTTAGGTTAGGTTATGTACCTTATGTCCAGCTTTAGTACTCCAGTAAACATTAATATTTTTATCTTGTACATTTTACATTTGCACCCATCAATATGATTGATAATCTTCACATTTGTATTGTTGCTTATGTACTTTATTTTATTATACCCCCTATTGTTACTTAAGACCTTAGGTACATGTGAGTAATTGTTATAATGTTGATGTTTTATTATTTAGTTAAGGTACTCGTCAAGAAACAAAATCAAAATGAATGAAGTTAATATGGCTAATAATCAAGAAATAAATATGCAATCATATAATATACATGATTTATGCAGATTATGTGCAAATTTTGATGAGAATATGATACCAATATATTCCGATGAAGGAGCAGACCATATGTTAGAAAACAAAATAAAAACCCATCTTCCATTTATAAATGTAGTGTATTTTAATTTTGATTATCTATAATACAAAATAAATTTTATCATCTATCACAATTAAAAACATTTTAGTACTTATTTGCTATATAATAATATAATATAATGTTTTTTATATTTTACAGATTTCTGAAAATGATTTATTACCAAAAAGAATATGTTATCATTGTGCTTCTGCTGTGCTTGTATGGAATGAGTTGTATGAATGCAGTAGTGATGCAGACCAAAAACTTAGAAGTATGTTTGAACTTAATCCATTCAATCAAAATCAGTGCAAGGTAATGTAATTTTCTGAATAATTTAAATATCATTCTGACCATAAATATAACTAAAATTTTTATATCAAATACATACCTAATGTTCCTGCCTATCTACTTTAAATTTATTAATAACAGATTTATTTTTATTTATATGCCTAATACCTATTGAATTTTYATCTTTATTTTACTTCTGATGTGCAGTTATGCATTATCTAATGTTTCTGAATGTTATAACAAATGTTTAATTTCTGAAGTTGAATGGGACATGAATACAACCATCATAAGAGTTGTAGTGAAGTTTGCTGGATAAAATTAATCATAATGAATACTATAATGTATAATTATTTGTAAAAAATTATTTCCTGACATTTATATAGGTTTTTTTTTTGTATATTTTAGGATATTCAAAAAGATGAAAAGTTAAATCCAACTTTAAAAAGGTAAGATATTTCTGTATTAAATACTTATTTTTGATTTTATAGAAACGTTGATTATCTGATATAATATAGACTTTAAAATATTATAATATTTTAGTAGTTATTTTATGAAATCTGTTTAAATTGTTAATATATTTATTAATTGCCTACTGCCTGGCCTAATCTCATTTGTGCATAAGTTGAAAGAACTGTGGTGCTTTATTAGTGCAATATATTTATTATAAATTCATAACACCATACTTTAAATACACACAGATGTAAATTAAATATCTAAACACTAAGGTACCTATATTATATTTTTAATTTACTGAAAGTATTATTATATTATATGAATAGATCATTTTGTTATTACTTATATTTTATTATTATATACTTTTRAWAGCTTATTATGCCTTTATAATTTAAAACTTAATTCAACAATAAAAATGTATAGTTGAGAGGACATCACACACTCATGTGTTTTCTGTATTATGAACATACTACATAACAAACCTGTGTTCACTGGTCCAAATTTTGTGTAAGCTTTATGAATACTATAGTAAATTTATTTATTATTATCAACCTTAAAAGTAATTACATTGTCTCTGCTTTTTCTGGAGATTCATATGATATTTAAATTTATAAATCAATTTATGAGAATGTAAAATATTATAATTTAAAAATTCTTATAACCTAACCTTGAAAATTAAATACTCCTGAGAACGCAAAGATAATGTTCATACCTTTAAGTATGATAATTGGTAAGTTATTTGTTATTGATAAAAGTTATTACATACAATTGGAACTACTTCACGCAAATTTGGTATGTCATTCATTTGTAAGACAGAGACAACACATGCAGGTGTAGTATCTCTTAATTTACAAAAACCATTAAGGATAATTATGAAAATTTAACATTGTAATTGTTACTATTTATAACTCAAATACTAAAGTAACTATTTTTGAATATGTAAAAGACATGAATTAGCTTCATGCATTACCATACCTTATGCATCATAAGAATAAAAGTATACAATAAGTTTTATATTTTTATGATTAAAAGTTGAAACTTTTTAGTGTAATTTATATAATAATTTGTTATAGAATCCATATTTATTTTTATTTATAGATAAATTACTTGAAATTCTTTAAACAATTTAATCTCATTCTATAGTTTTCTTTGCATAAAAAATCCCATTAAAATCCACACGTTAGTGTTAAAGTATATTGCATATAATTTTATCCATTCTATCACAATTTAATAATGACAGATTTTT